AGTTTTTGTGTATTATACAGATAATAAAGCTGGACATGGTGGCTCATGACTGTAATTCAGCGCTTTGGAGACTGAGGTGGGAGGATTGCTTGAGCTAAGGAGATTGAGGTTACAACAAACTAGGATCACACCATTGCATTACAGCCTGGGTGACAGAGTGAGACCCTGTCTCAAAAAAAAAAAAAAAAAGCTGCTGTCAAATATGTATGAATATATATAATTTTGGTTGTAGAAACATAATATGATTTGCTCGTATTTTGAAGAAAACTCTAGAAAGACTATGCAGGTACTAAGTGGGGCAATTCAGGTCAATAAACCATTCCTCTTGCTATAATGACATGGTAACATAAGGAGCTGAAAATATGGTGGTCTGGAGCTCAGACTATGCCAAGGGAGATTCTAGAGAGAGTAAAAAAGAGAAGTAAAAGGTTTTTTTCTTTTGATTTTATGTGAATATAGACTCATATGTGCCTGTTAAAAACTTTTGGGATACCACAGACTCCACTGAGCTGGTTTACAATTAACCCAAATAAATTGGTGTCATTAGGTTTGTGTTGCTCCATCGCCTGTACCTCTTTGGATTCCTGCAAAGACTGGATTTTAGGCTGGCAGATGGGGTTTCACTTCCTAGGCAGTGCTTCTGAGTTGAATTGTGATTGTAGTGCGTTTATCCACCTCCTACCACAAATAAACTATTCTTCCTGTTTCTTACAGTTGCCAAGGAGAGGTGAGTCCTCCTGGAGTAGGAAGTGGAAAGAGGAATATCCAGTCCACACAATTTGTGTTAAGTACTGTGAAGGAAAAGAGCAGAGTGGAAAGAATGGAGACCTGAAGAAGATTGAGCCAGTTAGTGAATGCGTTTCTAAGGAAACCTGAGGGAAGAGTAGAAGTTATCCAAATGGAGTAGGAGAAAGAGTTTTAGGCAGGGCAAAGTTTGGCATATTCCAGATAGAATGATTGGAGTTCAGAGTGCAGTGGAAGGCAAGGTAGGATAAATGGAAAAAGTAGGCAGTGGCTAGATCAAAGACCATGCTACATTGAGAATGTTCTTCTAAGTGCGGGAGGAAGCCATTGGCATGTTTTTACCAGGGGAGTGGCATCTTCAAATTAATGTTTTAAAAGGATCCTTTGGTGATTCATTGGTGAGTGGAGTATGGGTAAAAGATAGGCGTTGTCCATTAAGGAGTTAGTGCTAGGATTAGGTTAGGTATGTTGGTCACTTGGATTAGATGAAAGTGGAGAAAGAGAGATGTGGATAGTTTTAAGATATATTCTGGAGGTACAGTTGTCAGAACTTGGTAATGGATCGAATATTGGAAGGTGAGAGAGGGAAAGAGTATGTCAAAGATGATTGGATTCTGGCTTGAGCAGTTATGAGAAAAGAAGGGGAAAACGTGGAGGAAGAGTAAATCTGTGGGATAAGAGAAAGCATATGGTCAAGGTTTGGGCACATTGGGTTTGAGATCCTTGTGAGACATCCAAATGGAGAGGTTGGAGAGCAAGGTGGCTTTAGGAGTATAAAGCCAGAACGGGCGCTGTAAGTATACAGCTGTGGGCTGTCAGATATGAAAGTGGATTTCAGCCAGCCATGGTGGCTCAATCCTGTAATCTCAGCATTTTGGGAGGCAGAGGCAAGAGGTTTGCCTGGGCCCAGGGATCAATACCAGCCTGGGCAACTTTGTGAGACCTCATCTCTACAATTAAAAAAAAAAAATTAGCCAGGCGTAGTCGCATGTGCCTGTAGTTGCAGCTATTTGGAAGCCTGAGGCAGAAGGATCGTCTGAGCCCAGCAGACTGAGGCTGCAGTGGCCATGAGCAGTGTGTTACTGCACTCCAGCCTGGGTGACAGTGAGACTCCGACTAAAAAAAAAAGCCAGGCTCGGTGGCTCAGCCTGTAATCCTGAACCTTGGGAGGCTGAGGTGAGTGGATTGTCTGAGCCCACGGGTTCGAGACCCGTCTGGGCAACTTGGCGAGACCTCAT